CCGGCGGAGAGAGGAGGGGACAGTCACCCGGTGGGATAAGGTATGCCCCCGGGTCTCCTCCTCTCTCCTGATACTGTCGGGCGTTCGGTCCATGACCGAGCGCCCGACTTTTCAGAGGGGGGTGACACCAAAATGACTGTCAGTCATTTTGGTGTCACCCCTCCAACGGTGTCACCTGTGGACAGGCCGCACCCCCCCTTGTGACGCCACTGTGACAGGGTGACAACTAGGGATAAGTTCAAGTCCGAACCTGTGCTCCTCTGAACATAAAAGTGTCACGGGCCATCCACCCTATTAGCAGCGGGCTGGGGCATACGTTTGCCCCGCGGCTGGACACAAAGGAGCGGGAGGCCTGTGCTGCCCTCATTGACCAAATATAGCCATGTGGTCATATAAAGTCGATGATGTCACTACATCCCGCCCCTTTGCTTACATGCAGCTGCTGGCGGGCTGTGGCAAGGAATTCCTTCCGTGTTCCCCGGCTGTTGCATGCTCATCCCTAGTGACAACGCAGGAGCGCATTTGGCAGACAGCGACAGAGCGTTGTCATCCGAACAAGAAAGTGCTTCAAGAAGGTTCTTCCTGGCAGGATCATCCGGGATTCTTTTTTTAAAATAAAACATATTGAAGCCTTTTGAAATGACATTAATACGTTACAACCCGCAAGAGTTTGTGGTGATCGGGGTGACCTCTTGTTGGGTGGCTGGAGGTGGATCACTCTGTGCGTGACGCTGCTGGTTTTTAATACAGAACAGTACAACGTCCATTTATCTCTGTCGGGTGTCATTGCGCCATGAGTGACAACCCAGAGGAGGGGAGCCGCTTATCGGAGCGCCCTGAACTTTGGAATGTTCCGGCGTGGCGGTTATTTATGGGCGCAATCGATGATCCGTTGCTATAATTGGCACGTTGATGGAAAGTGATCAGAGTGACAACCTTCTGATTATTATAGTTGGCGAGATATATACGAGGTGACGGGGACGTGTTCCTTGCGCCCTTTGTCCCATAACCAGAGACTTTCCAGATCCGCGATGATGTAAAAAGGCAGAACGGCATTCTGTCGTCATGGAAACCATTTAAAGGAACCCCGCGCTGACTGGAGCGTTCTAGCTCTGACTCTGAGCCGGGGAGTGTGCTGGATCTCTGCAGAGGGACCGCTGCTTCCACATAGTTCACCTGGAATTTATTTGGCTGGTTTGGGGTTCATTCGCACGTCTGTACAGCGTGCACGCCCCCAAGCACAGACATGCTCCCGGGAGGTACAAGTGCTGCGTGTGAATGCGTGCAGCGGCCTGTACCTCCCTATGGGAAGACGCAGCTGCACGCGCTCGAACGCAGACCCGAACCAGCACATCCGGGTGCCCGCACTTGGAACCACGCTGTCTGCATCCAACGCTTATTCCAGCCATTATTTTTTTTCACTCTAAATGGGTCGGGTTTTTTTTAATGTTCTGTGACCCCATTGGGGAGATTTTTCCTCACTTCTGGTCTCTATGACACCTGTAGACAAAATGCCCCCCATAATAGGAAGACAGACGCCAATACAAACATTCTAACTAATAAAAAGTTCTAACGCTTCCCCGTCCTATTAAAACTTTGCTTTTGATTTTGTCTGTGTCCCCATTGGATAGATTTCCCGTCACTTCCTGTCTGTACAGGAAGCGACAGGAAATCGCTCCAACCAGCGGGATCACCGGGCTGGGCGTCACCAAGCCGGTGATCGATCGAAAGTTCAAACTTATCGAGTTCTGCGAACGCCTGACTTCCGGTTTCGTTAGAACTAAGAGGTTTGCCCAAGAAGGTTTGTTCTGCATGAGCGCCAGCCAAGGCATTGGCCTATACACATACAGCACAGCAATGACCTATACACATACAGCACAGCAATGACAGCAATAAAAAACCCGTCAGTACAGATTAGTTAAATGATCGTCTTCAATGGATCATTTCTGATACATTGTGTTGTCAATCGATATCGTCTATGAAGCATCGTTCAATATTTGAATTGATGATGAATGGCTTGTTTATGATCGATCACATATAGACGCGTGTATGCCCCACTTGTGCTTTGCAGTACCGCGCGCATTGCCATGCACTTTACTGGGATGCTGCATGGCAC